TACCAATACTTTCTGAATATGTACTACATTGGTAATCAGTGAAGAAAATACCACAACATATAATAAATATATTATATAAAAGAAATAAAATCTATGCCAATTAATTAAACAATTACTCTATACATAATATTCATTTAACTATATATTTATTTATACAAAACTTTCTTAATCTTGTCTAATTTATTATTACGTAACTTTATATTACTGATACTTTTCGTAAATTCACATATTACATTTATACCCATTCAACAATCTGACCTTCTGATAGACATTGACCTATAGATATATAACAATGTTTAAGATTTTCTTAGTAAAGAGTGAATAAATATTTCTGAAAATTGCATTATATATCCTATTTAGAATATTTTTCTAGAAACATATAAAAAATATTATTTTTTATTAATATATATAGAAATATAAAATTTTTAAATCACATAACAGTTTCATCAATTTAATAGAAAGTTGTAAACGTGCAGATTAAAATTCATTCGATATATCACACAATTTCTACAACAAATATTTATTTAAATTGTTCATATTTAACAACAATATTAATATCATTAATTTATATCATTCTGATTGTGAGTGTTTTTATTATGTAAATGGATCAAGGCCATACCAATCAAGTACATATAACGTCCATACGTATGAATTATAATATGCAATTTCTACTAATGTATATATTGGATACAAACTTATAATATTACTATACATAGTAAATTAATAATAATAAAAAAAACAATGTTAATATATTCATTTCAGAAATCAAATTCTACTATACGATTTTTTAATCGAGGTGATTATTATACATTACATGGAAGCGATGCTTTATTTGCTGCTAAAGAAGTTTTTAAAACAACATCTGTTTGTAAAATGCTCGGTGCTGGTAAGCCAAAATAAAATTGTAATTTTAATCTCACCAAAAATTACTATTAAGTATAAATTTAATTTACTTGTTATAGAACCTTATAAGACTGAAGGTATTATACTGAATAAAAGTCATTTTGAGGCATTTATACGTGATTTATTATTAGTAAAACAATATAGAGTGGAAGTTTACATTAATCAAGGATCAGTAAAAAACCAAAATTGGGTATTAGAATATAAAGGTTCGCCTGGTAATCTATCACAATTTGAAGATATATTATTTGCTAACAATGATATTGCACTTGGAGTATCAGTAATTGCTATAAAATTAGGAACAGAAGGAAAATCCAAAGTAAGTTGATATAACATTTGTATATCATAAAATACTAATATTTAATGTATGTAGATTTTAGGATTAAGCCATCTTGATACGGTAGCAAATTCTTTCTCAGTTTGTGAATTCCAAGATAGTGAATCTTTCTCAAATTTAGAATCACTTATTGTTACACTTAATCCAAAAGAATGTCTACTAATACAAGGAGATAGTAGTTATGAATTTGATACTTTGAAACAGGTTGGTTAATTATATATATATATATATATATATATATATAAAGAATATATTATTATATGAAATATTATATAGAAGATTAGATTTATCTAATTATTATTATCATAAATTTTGTAGGTAATAGAAAGAAGTAATGTTTTAGTTACTTTAAGAAAAAAAAGTGAATTTTCTAATGATTCAGTTGTACAAGATTTAAATACATTACTCAAATTTACAAAAGGTCAGCAACAAAATGCACAATCCTTACCTGAAATAAATTTAACATTAGCTATGTCAGCTACATCTGCATTAATTAAATATTTGGATGTAAGTATATTTCATATAATTGTAATTTTTATTAGAGAGAAAGATATTATTGAGACATGATATTTTAAAATTAAATTTCAGCTGACATCTGATGAAGGAAATATTCATCAATTTAGCATAGAACAAATAAAACAATCACGTTATTTAAAATTAGATACAGCAGCTATAAAGGCTCTTAATATTGAGCATTGTTCAAATGTATCTTCTAATTTAAATGGAAATGTACCTGATAGTATTTTGACTTTATTAGATAAATGCAAAACTCCACAAGGTCATAGATTAATTGCACAATGGATTAGACAGCCTCTTAAAGATTTGGCACTTATAAAAGAAAGACATGATATAGTAGAAGTATTAGTTAAAAACAATGAATTAAGATCTACTCTTAGCGAAGATCATCTGAGACGAATACCTGACTTACAGCAATTAGCCAAAAAATTATCTAAAAAGAAAGCTCATCTTCAAGACTGTTATAAGTGTGTAACTAATATTATATTTTACAATATTTATCTATTTATTGTATGTCTAAATACAAAATAATAGAAAAATAATTTATTTTATTAGTCTAAAAAACTATATTTTTAAGCTCATATATATTTACTTGCAGAATTTATATGAGTGTATCTCATTTGCCAAGACTGATACAACAATTTTCTGATGTTTCTAACATAACAGCCTTAAAAGAATTAATTATAGATCCATTAAAAGAACTTATCAAGGATATGGACAAATTTCAACAAATGATTGAACAAACTATTGATTTAGATGCAGCGGAAAAGGGAGATTTTTTAGTTCATCCTGATTTTGACGATGAATTAAAAGGTATTTAAATAGGTAGCTGTTATGTTCGTTTATTACTTAAGCGAATAAACATCAATCGTCATATTTTTTTAAGTTTAATTTTATCTATATTGCATATAAATATTTAAACATTTAATCTTTCTAATAGAACTCAAAAAAGAAATGGATGAAATGGAAGAAAAAGTACAATTGCAGTTAAGTAAAGTAGCTGAGGACTTGGGTGTAGAATCAGGAAAATCATTAAAATTGGAAACCAATCAACAGTTGGGCTATTACTTTCGAATAACGTTAAAAGAAGAAAAGATACTAAGAAATAAAAAACATTATACTATATTAGACTCTAACAAAAATGGTGTAAGATTTAGAAATAATAAGTTAAATGAATTAAATGATGAATATATTGCTGCTAGAGAGAAGTATACAAATCAACAGAAAACTGTTGTCACAGAAATTATTGAAATTGCAGGTCAGTACATAATTACAAATTATAATGATAGACGAAATTAATATATATTTTATTATATGTTGAATTTATATATAGCTGGATATACCACTCCGATTAAAAGTATTGGAGACGTTATTGCGTGCCTTGACGTTTTCGTGGCATTTGCCTTAACTGCAGCAAATGCACACATAACATATATTCGCCCAGAAATGCTTTCTAGCGAGCATGGTGAATTTAATCTTGTTCAAGTGAGACATCCTTGTTTGGAAATACAAGAAAGCGTAGATTATATCGCTAACGATGTATATTTTAAAAAAGGTCAATATAATAAATCAGTGAGATATTAAGTTTTCAACAAAAATTATCTTATAGTTTATATTAATTCTTAAATAATTTTAGATAAAGTTCATTGTTACATTATAACTGGTCCAAATATGGGTGGTAAAAGTACGTATATACGTTCTGCTGGTGTAACTGCATTAATGGCACATATTGGAAGTTTTGTTCCTTGTGAAAAAGCAACAATATCTTTATTGGATTGTATATTGGCAAGAATTGGAGCTGATGATTCACAATTAAAAGGACTTTCAACGTTTATGATGGAAATGATAGAAACAGCTGCTATTTTAAGGGTATGTTAAACTAATGACGTGTTTTGCAAGAAAAAAATATTTAATGATATTTTTGTGTGTGGAAATTATTCTCTTATATCATTTATAGACAGCAACATCTAATTCACTTGTAATCATTGATGAACTTGGTAGAGGTACATCAACATATGAAGGATGTGGTATCGCTTGGTCCATAGCAGAGTAAAATTTTTATTTTAAAGTAATACTATATCTTTTATAATAGAATTACTTTTGGAATAATATGATACATATATTTTTTTAGGCATTTAGCAAAAGAAATTAAATCTTATTGCCTATTTGCAACGCATTTTCATGAGATTACGAGACTTTCTGAAGAAATACCTACAGTTAAAAATCAACACGTGACAGCTCTTGTACAAAACGATAAACTTACTTTACTTTATAAAGTAAAACCTGGTGTTTGCGATCAAAGCTTTGGTATTCATGTTGCTAAAATGGCTAATTTTCCAGACAACGTAATAGAGGTAATTTTAAGTAATAATATGAATTATATTAAAAATTAGATAAATCAATTATTAATGAGTATTACAGTTTGCTAAACGAAAACAAACAGAATTAGAAGATCATCAGGGAACAATTTTTAAAGGATCTGATTGTCCAGAAAAAAAGCGAAAAATTATAAAGGTCTGAAAACTATAGTTTTTTTTATTAATTTAGTTGTAATTATTATTATATTATCTATATAATAATATTCTTGTATAATTTTATTACAGGAAGCTGATGAATTGATAACTGAATTTCTCAATGAATGCAAAACACTAGATAAATCTTTGTCAACTGAACAGCTAAGAGATAAAATCTTGGAATATAAAAAAAAGATTTGTTCTCGTGAAAATCCATATATCGATACATTATTATCAGAAGTTTACTAATTTTTCTTTTATTTTTAAATTCAAATAATAACATATTAAGAACATGTTATAGTTTATGCACATTAAATAAAAAAAAGAATACCTTTTAGGTGAAAACAATTGATAATTGAATAATATATTAAGGGTGCGTTCCACTAAGCGCTCACAACGATCACGCTCACGACCACAGTTTTTCCCGTTCCACTTACCTACGAGCGTTACTGTCGTAAATTCAAGTGGAATGGACTATGGTGCGTTTTGAGCGTGGAGGTAATAATACAAATGGCGAGGTAGTGAAAAAAAAGTAAAAGATTAAAGAGGTTAAGATTTAATCTGTAATCCTTCATATCAGTTTCACGGTCGCCATTTTTATTGTTGTCAGTTTCGAAAAAACCGCTAATTTTCTCAACGCTTACTACGACCCACGTTTTCAGATGGGTCGTTGTGGGCTTCGCGTGAGCGTTAGTAATGACGTCATGAGTGACGTTTTCGCCGCGACCACACGACCGCGGTCGTTATGTGGAACGACTAAAGGAGCATTTTGATCGTTGTGAGCGCTTAGTGGAACGCACCGAATATCGTTCGTTTTTAATGTCAGTTTACTACTAGTATTATAACCTCGAATCTGATTAACGTATTCAGTATTTTAAAGATTTTTATGGTTATTGAATGTACTTTTTAAACAATTTTTATTAGTGAATATGGATCCTGCTATCTTTCCTGAAGAAATTTGGATTAAAATTTTACTACATTGCGATATACTTGATATTATTACATTTAGTAGTACCTGTAAATATTTAAGAACAATATCAAGCAGCGAATACTTATGGTGAGTTAGAGGTTAGGTTTACGTCAAAAATCTTTAATCGCTATTAATTATGTTGAGAAACAAAATATTGTCTAAAATATTTATAGAAAATAAAGATATGCAATTAATATTATAATGATATTTTTATTTTAGGAAAATAAAATGGTTACAGTTATTATCGCAAGTTCAGTTTCAGTTACCTAGCATAAAGCAGTTGCAATCACATTCTGTCAATTTTAAAGGAATGTGTTATAGATTGCATATGATAATTACATTAGGTAAAGATCTGAAATTTCAAAAGTGTTACTATTGCTATGAATATACATGTAAAAGAGATTGCGAGAAAATATTAAATAGTGAACTTATAATTGAAATAGGGAATAAATATACACGGACAATGTTTACACGAAGCCTAATTTCACTGTTCAAGTTTTTTTCTATTATTTCTTTCCCAACAAATTTTAGTAAAAAACATGAGGAGGAGGAACAAATAATTAATATACAAAAATGTAATATAGCAGTAATGTCAAAAAATAAAATTAAAGACTATTACAAACTTAGGAATGATTATTGTACAGACATCAAAAAAATTCGGAATATACCAAATATTGAAATATTAAATCCAGCTAAAGCTTTATTAAATAGTGAAAACTTTTTAGTTCTTAAAGTATTTCTCGATCGTTTGTTTCATAAAATAAGTTCCCCCTTTGAGATGTTAGGTGCGTCACTCGTGTTTTGTGAGCCATTAGGCACACATCCTACATTAAGGAAGCAACTATTGCATTATTTATTTCAAGAAGTTAAACTAGCAAGGTATTTTTGTTATTTTACAAACATAAAAACATAAACATAAACATTTATAGTATTTCTTATTTATATATCTTACAGAGTATGTTTGGTTCCAAAACCTTTATTAGCATGTGTTATGTTGGATATAAAAACATGTATTGTAGTTGATAGTGGTGCACTAAGTACTACAGTTGCTGTAGTAATTAACGGAAGAGTTATGCCTCAACGATGGAAATTATTACCAATAGGTGGTTGGCATGTGGCTTATCACTTAAAACAAGCTATGCGCAGAAAACCAAAAGAATATCATCAAATTCCATTATTATGCCTTGATTTTGTAGCTATAAAAAACAAATGTAGATTGAGTTATGATATTAAAAACGAGGAAAGAGAAGGAGGACAGAAAATAAACGAATACATTAATCTTAGAGCTAACGGCTTTTTTGAATTTGAGAAATTTAAGGTATTTATGAAATTTTATTTATAAATAATTGTAAACCAATTCGATACGTATAACTATGTATATAATGACAATTTTTTCCATAGCCCATCATGCCTAAAGAAAAAATTAAGCCCATCTATCAAAAAATTTCATTAGGTTCAGAATTATATATTGCACCTGAAATGATGTACGTTAGCCTTGGATTACCAAAAGTAATAAAAGAAGTTACATCCGGTTTGTCGGAAGATATTATGCACGATTGCTTTTCGCATATTATGCTTTATGGAGGTAATACATCTCTATCTGGTTTTAAATTGAGATTAATTAAGGATTTGCGAGAACTGTTCCCTGAATATAGTGAAATTTTGGAAGTACAAAATTGTCATAGTGATGATACTGATGATTCGATATATTATGAATATCTGTCATCATATATATCTTTAACTATGCACTCAGGTAAGATTAATATTTATACATTACATTCTTCTCGTAAAAAACTTAAATAAAAATGGTGCCAACATCTATCTTATTACTAGTTTTAAATAACTTGTAGATAAAACACCACCCGAATATGTAGAAGGTTATCCTTATTGGTTATCACGAGAGGAATATATATTGTTTGGATGTGATTCATTAGGATAATAAGCACGATAATAAGTATATTTGTAAATGAATGTGTTGTAAAATGCATAGAGAAAAAGTTATAGTATTAAATTTTTATTTACATCAGCATACAAAGCCATATTATTTAGCACATGACATTTTACGAATGTTATAAATATAACTCAAGAAAGTAACTATGTTTATCATATTTGCATGTAGTAAATTTTTATGAAATATCAATTCATAATTAATAATGAATTATTTATTTAATAAATTATATAACATTATATTTTTCATGATTTCTGGTATAATTTATGAACATGTGATATAATAAATAAACATTTATTATTATTATTCTATATAATAATGCAAAATATTTCACATGTTGTACCAATAAATAATCATACATCAATTACACTATTTTGTCATGACAATAACGTTGCGTAAATATATTATACTACAAATTTTTTTATATATACAAGTTAATTATTTTTTATCATTATTGCAAGAAGAATTCATGAATTTGTTATTAAAAAATTTGTTAATGTATGGATAAAATAAAATATGTAATATAGTCTAAAATCTATTTGATTTCTTATCTATGAGATATATAATTTCCTATTATAAGTTTAAAACATTCATTAAAAAGAAAGTAATAAACAAAACAAAGTTCATGTTTTTTCTTTGATACTTTATACAATGAATTCTTTAATGAGTTCTATTTTACATATTACAGATATTTTTAACATATATTCATGTAAATAATTTAATGCATTATATTACAAATCTAAACTATTTTCAGAAATGTAATTTAATAACAGTTTGTTTTTTAATATTTCATGAATAAAATAGTTTTAACAAAGAGCACAGCCGTTATGTAATAGAAAGTTAGATTTATAACAGTATCTCCATAATAGTATACATAAAACTTGTAGTACATTATTATAAGAATATATACTACATAAGTGACTCAGAAAGTAATACATATTTTTTAGTTTTTAAATGAAATGAAAAAGACAATCCTACCTTAATTTTTAATTACTTATATATTTTTTTTATTTATACAAACTATATACAAAAAATTCTATCTCTCATATGTTTATGCATAATTTTCAATATGTATAATTGTTAGTCTGTTATTTAAAACAAAGAATGCAGTGAAAATTGTATATATCTACTCAGAACATCTTGTTTATTACTATTGTAACAATATTAGAAAATGTTTGGAATATACAATATTCATCATACATTATGGTACAAAAAATCTAAATAATTCACTAGATGTATTAAATTTTCTACTACATTCCTTGGGTGTAAATCAATTGTGTTGAATGTCTATGAATCAGTTTCTATATTTTTACATTTGTCATATCTTATATAATTTAATATAAATATGTCGTGAATATATAAATTATGAATTGTTCAGTGAGTAAAATGAAAATTATTTATTAGATGTAAATTGTAAGCAGTCTTAAATGAAGTCTCAACACAATTGATATCTTATTATAAAATAATTTGTTTTTTTCGATGAACCAAAGTAATTCTTAATTTAACAACACGAAGACTTTGCAGGCTCTGCTTCGACTAGATTAAAGTCCAAGCCACCAGGTCTTGCAAATCCAGTTTTAATACCATCCCAACCATCTTCTACTTTATATTCACCAGTCTGTATTCTATTATAAACTTCCTGAGTAACTGTTCGAAATGCTTCTTCAACATTGACTCCTGTTTTTGCACTAGTTTCTATATGATGTACACCATGTTGATCAGCAAAAGCTCTAGCTTCTTCTCTTGATACTTCTCTTCTGCCACCATTTGTTACCAGATCCAATTTACAACCTACCAATGCAAATACAGGACGATGCGGTTCAATATGTCTACGCGCTTCCATCATCCATTGAGGAATATGTTCAAAGCTAGTTCTGTTGCATACATCATATACAAGTAGTGCTCCAACAGAATTTCTATAGTAAGATTTTGTTATAGACCTAAAGTAAAAAATAATGCAATCTTTGCAATAGTATCTTATGTAAGATTTATGAGTAAAATAAAACGACAAGTCATGGGAAGAAAACATCACATACATAAACATAATATTTATATAATTAATTATTTACCTAAATCTTTCTTGTCCAGCAGTATCCCATAATTGTAATTTTATTCTCGTGCCATCTTTAACTTCAATTAAACGTGCAAAAAAGTCTACGCCGACAGTTGGATCGGAAAGCTAAAACAACAAATTCATATAAATCACTAACAGAATACATAATTCTAATAACAAAAACATGTTGAATGTATTGAATATATGATAACAGTTTGATGAAACAATCTATATTACCTCTTATGACATTTTTCTTATTTTAAGTTTTTCATGCTTAACAATTAGAATCACATAATCAATTATTTTTTTATAACCCTGATCAATGTTATGTGAAAACAATATATAGTATGTATTGAAGATTAGATTATAACTTATTGCGACGCGCGTGGACTAACGTTCATAATATATATTAATAAAAATAATACAGAAATAAAAAATTATACAAAATCGTGACGCCAATAAAGAGGCGTAACTAGGCATACCCGATAACTTCACATTTATTAAAATGCAACCACAATGGATAAAGATGCATCATACCTCTGCGAACTTCCCATCGGTGAAATATTTCAGGAGTGAACTCTTTCCGACCGTACTGTCGCCAATCAATATTAGCCGAAATTGATAATCAAAAATTGGTTCCACCATCTCGATGAAAGATAGAGAGGGGGAAAGCAAAAAAAATAAAACTTTTAACCCAAATGCACGCTTCCTTTCTTTAAAAGGTATTCATCTTCTCGTGCGCACACTTGTCAGAATAACTAAAATTCAGCTGACCGTGACATCAATCGTCAACTTCCTACCACCTTTGCTCATCGTGCCGCCTCTATTGCGCACGTCACTGTACGAGTAAATACGTAGATCTTGTAATTGTATATATCATTCTTTTTGTCTGTACAAAGTTTTTTCTATCGCATTTACACGTCAATATTTACTTGTGATATGTATTAAGATTATTATGTTTTCTCGTTAAAAGAAACAAAAAACCTAAAGCTACTATTTTATGTAATTAAAGAATGTATTCTCTCTCTCTTAACGATTTATAAACTTATGTCGCTCAGACAATTATTAAACGTTACGCCATACCACAAAAAGGTTCGGGCATAAAAGATCATTTCGAGAACTTCCGTGTTCCAATCTAAAAAACTTGCCTACAATTTTAATTTTATTTGTATAAGCTCAGATGGCGCGCTAATAGGTTTTTTTATTGTTTTGTATTCACTTTAAATTTCATGTATTATATACAAGTATAGCAGCAGTTTGGAAAATATCTGCTGAAAACATGTTTAGAATTGTTACTATAGATTAAAAGAAAAATTTTTTTATACTTAAATTTTCTTTGAACACAAGATTAAGTAAATACGTAATAAACTGAATTTATCATATCCAGATACACAAATCATATACAAATGCATTCGAGGCAATCACACCAATGTATCATTGTACCATCTAACTTTATAAATATAGAACTAAAATAGTAGAAAGTTAAAGCTCAAATTAGAATCTGGGGTCCATGATTCTGTCACTTCATACACAGTGTATATAATAAACACAAAAATAACTTGTGAAATAGATACGTTGATTCGAAGAGATTATATTCATTGAATTCTCTTTCTATTATTAGCTACGTATAATAGAGACATGGACGAAGAAGAATTGATAAATGAGATTGCTAAGTTGCGTGAGCTTTTACACGAGAAGGAATCTGCATTAGCTTATATAAGGCGCACAAAACAAATCCCACGTGACTATGGTTTAAATAATGATGAAATTAGTAGATATAGCAGGCAAATTTTTTTGCCAGAAATTGGAGTAACAGGTAATAAAGAATGTTTAGTATACTTTTCTATAAATTATGTTCCTATGTTATTAATATTTTAGGACAAAAAAGGATAAAAGAATCCTCAGTACTTATTGTTGGAGTAGGTGGATTAGGTTGTCCTTCTGCATTATATTTAACATGCAGTGGTATTGGCCATATTGGACTTGTAGATTATGATAATATTGAAATTAATAATTTACACAGACAGGTGTTGTTTACGGAAGGGACTATTGGAATGCCTAAAGTAACTGTAGCTGCAGAATTTCTTAATAAGTATATGATCATTATTTTCTTATCCTTAAATTTCACTTTTATTACAATTAATAACTCTCCTCTCTTTCTTATATCCTTTGAAGTGTATAGTTATTATTTACTTCCTATATATTTACTTGTAGGTTAAATAGTTATACTGAAGTTACTCCTTATAAACTTCAGCTGGATAGTAGCAATGCTTTAAAAATTATAGAATCATATGATATTGTATTGGATGCAACAGACAATGTAGCAACTCGTTACTTATTAAATGATGCGTGTGTTCTAAGTAAGAAACCCTTGATCTCTGGATCAGCGTTACGTTTTGAAGGGCATTTGTCTGTATTTAATTATAACGGTCCTTGTTACCGATGTATCTTTCCTAAACCGCCATCTCCTGAAACAGTAACTAATTGTAGTGATGGCGGTGTACTTGGAGCAGGTTACTATTTTTTAATTAAAATATCTCATTATAGCATTTAAGACAATTACCATTTAATGATCTATTATTTTTAGCTGTTGGAACAATTGGTGTTTTACAAGCAGTAGAAGCTATTAAAGTAATTCTTGACATGCCTGAAACACTTTCTGGTCGTTTGTTAGTATTTGATGGAATTGAAACACGATTTCGTAATATTAATTTACGTACAAAGAATCCAGATTGTGTTATATGTGGAAAAAATCCAATTATAAAAGAATTAATTGATTATGAACAGTTTTGTGGTGCAAAAGCAAATGATAAAGATCCTAATTTAAATCTACTCAAAAATGAAGACAGAATTACGGTTGAAACATATCATCACATAATAAAATTTAATACAGAAGATCATTTATTAATTGATGTACGTTCACCCGAAGAATTTCAAATTTGTCGTTTGAGAAATTCTATAAATATTCCATTGTATGAAATTTACAAGGATAATGCTACTAAGCAAATAAAAAGTGAAATAGACAAGCAAGACAGTGGTAAAACAATATCGAAAGGTATAGAATAAATAAATATTTTTAAATACATTAATATATATTAATATATATTAACATTATATATTAACATTAATTAACATTATATATTTTAATTAGTAATTAATCTTTATTACAATGAATATATTATTTTTTGAATCAATTTCCTAAAGTAATGTTAAGCGTATTTAATATATTTAAAACAAAGAAAGTATTACGCAGCACATAAGCTTAGTACATGTGCTTCAATACGTTTTAGTTTTAACATGATTAATTTGATTTGCAAAAGAGTGAATTTTGACTGCAAAACCAATAATTTTCTTTCTTTCTAGTTTATGTTTTATGTAGAAGAGGAAATGACTCACAGAAAGCAGTACAACATCTTCAAAAGATATTTAAAGATAGTAAAGTAAATATTAAAGACATCATTGGAGGAATCCATGCCTGGAGCAACAAAATTGATTCAACATTCCCTATTTATTAACTGTAATAAGGTCCCCTATAACGCGAGATGTACGTTCTGCGTTATACGGATTTCACGTTATACGAATCCAAAAGCGCAAAAAAACTTTAACTAACTAAATAAATAATTAATAAAAAATATTTTATAATTAAAAAAATTATTTTTCCTAATTATGCGCATTTTTGATTCATTTATATTAGATTTCTTTCAAAGAGATGTTAACTGTCACCAGATTTCAACCGATTAAGAACTTATAATTTTTCTTCTAATGACATAAATCTACTTGTTAGCTGAATTTTCCTGGTGATCTTTTTGGAGTTATGACTGGACATTAAATATAGTGAAAAAAGATTGGATTACCTTATAATCAATCAAATTTACATTGTAATTGAAAAGAATTCATACGTAGACGTGGCATACGCTTTCTCAATTGTCTGATTATAAGAACTTTATATTCCAAACTTCAACGTTTTAAGAGCAGAAAGAGGTAATATAGAAAAAGGCACGAATTCAATTATTAATTAAAGATATATTCTGTTATTCTGTTACTATAAAGATGATCTAAACACACCTCACTGAAGCGTATTTTAAAGATTGACCGAAACATGTTACTAACATTGTATAAACATTTTTTAATTTCCACGGTTTGTTTCATTTATACGAGCATATGTTTGTACATAATTTATACAAATATTATTTTTTCTAAAATAAAGATCTACTACAAAAAAAGTAATGAGAAAGATATTCAATTGTATTTTACTAATTCTTCTGCTGATAAACTTGTTTCAGGATATCTATAATGGATATCACTTAAACTTCTTAATTTGCTCGCTGCTTGTTCCGGAGTTAAATCTCGTTGTACTTGCGCAAGTAATTCATATCCAACCATATGTTTTTTTATCGTACTTGAACGCAATAACGGAGGTAAGTAAATTCCATGAAATGTCCAATATGGATAATCTTGCTTTATATATTCACCAGTTGGAGCACCTTTAATTGTTATGTAATTATTATGTTATATTTAAAAAATAATTTACAATAACAAAATATATAAACAATATATAACAACAAAATAATATACAATAACAAAAAATATAAAATTAAATGATTATTACCATGCCATCCCATAGAATATGGAAAAGAACACTGAAATAAGTTATCATATCTTGTGCATAATTGTTTCATTATAACTGCTAATGATTCTTGTTGACTTTTTGATAAATCCTGCATTCTTGTTACTTGATTCTTTGGAAGTACCATGGTCTCATAAGGCCATACTGCCCAGAATGGTACAATTACTATCCAATTGTGATTTTCTAATACAATGCGCTCCTAAAATATATCAAATACAAAAAAAATATATAGTTTTCAAATTCATTTCTATAAATTTTTATTATTACAAATCCATTTAGAATATTCAACAGTCATTATGTGTGTTATACTTTTACTTACCTTTTTCAAAATTTCTTTTTGCATGTAATCGATAAGAAGAGGCTTTTTATTACGATTATAATATTCAGCTAAATACTTGTCTTTTATTCTGGCTTCATTTGGTAAAAAGGAACTAGACCAAATTTGACAATGAGGATGTGCATTGCTACATCCCATTAATGCTCCACGATTTTCGAATATTTGAACCCAGGTCCACTGTTTACCTAAATCAAGTATTTCGGATATCCATCTATTTTTATATAAAAGATTATATTATATAAAAATTCTGCAAATTGTTTTAACATGATATAATTTTCTTTAGAATTTACTATATATAATATAATATATATATTTATACTTTTTAATTACTGCTTCGATCTCGTCAACTTTCATAAGTGCTATAGTAACGTTTGACTTGGGATGAAAACACATTACCCTGCATGTTCCTCGAGCAGCTTCAATTTGAAACAATTCATCATCGAATTTTGGAGGCGAAGGTACTGTTTCTAGTAATGCAGGAAAATCATTCACAAATGAAAAAGTTTGTTGATAAACAGGAGTTACCTAAAATTATATTACGAATATTAAATATCATTCTTGTTAAAATAAATCATATTATAAAATTACCTCTCCATTAGCTCTAACATTTCCTGGACAAAGTGGATTATGAGGATCATAATCAGGAAGTTCTTCATCCATATTTGGTTCTACTTGACCTCCCCAAGGTCGTTTCATACGATGTGGAGATACTAACACCCATTCTCCTTTCAAGGGATTATAACGTATGTGTTGATGATCTGCAAATGAATATTATTCTAATGAATTATAGAAATCGATTAGAATAATACAATAATATGATATAATTACATACCCTTTGGATCAAAAGTTTCACTAGCTTGATTAGTATCCATGTTATATACACGTTATGTATATAATAAAAGATGTTTTGTTCTCATTTAAGATAAAACTGCAAATAAATTCTGATGCGTATCCATTTAATTTAAAAATTATAATGTTTATATAATATATTTCCAAGAAACTTGACTTCACGTTATCAGTAAAACTATACGACTGCGATAAATTGAAAAGTCCTTCGCCTTAAAAGCATATATGTAACATTGAGAAGTGACTTGAGGGTGGAGCTTAAAAAACATTACATTTGGACCAAAAAACATTTGAACGTCTACGTGAATGCCTTATCACTTTATTTTACTGTTATGACCTTTTCCGTCCTTTCTTCGTTACATAAAAATTAGCATATAGATTTGATTCTTTCTACCAATAAAGAAAATATATGTAATATAAGGTTACATCATACAATAAGAGTTACAGATCAAACTAGATTATTACCAAATGGTACGAGCAATTCCCTGTTTTTATCTATTATCGACTGCGTTGTTAAAAAATCAATAATTCAGCACAAAAAAGTTGGGATAGAACCGCAACAGCAGAAAAAAATTAATAAATAATCTTAATTGCACATTAATTTCACATTTAAAATCTATAATTGCACACTTTATTAATTAATTATCTAATTAGTTATTAATAATTGAAAAAACAAAAGTGTTCTTTCTCATTTCTAAGCAAAGCAATGAAGATTTTTATTATTTTTTGTTTTCAATCAATTGCTGATTTTTTATTTGTCCGGCTTCTCAACTTTTATTAATTAATTATTTTTTATTTATCGTTAATTAGTTAAAAATAATTATTACACTTTGAATAATTATGAAATGGCGACGTCATGAGTGGGAGATATGTTATACGCATGCGCAACCACAAATTCAAGGCGCAAGCGCACTTTGAAAAAAAGGAAAGTAACTAATTAAATAATTAATTACTAAAGTGTGCAATAATAGATTTAAAATGTGCAATTAAGAGTACTTATTATTTTTTTTCTGCTGTTGCAGTTCTATGCCAACTTTTTTGGGGTCAATACTTCATCCTATATTTTTTAATTGATAATACAGTTCTCTACAAGCACGTTAAAACAAGATACTACTTTTGTTGAATTTTTTCAAATCGGTTATTAATCCTTTTGTTACAAGCGCCAATATATAACAATCCTTTTGTTATACTCATGCCGAATTATCAAAGTACATTGTTCCAATCGTTCTCTTTTTATATCTTTTAATTGATTTTGTTTTACAATCTGTATAAATTGTAAACTTTTATAAACTAAATCGACTAGAATTAAATGTTATCATCAAAGTAATTATATATATATATAAAATATTCTAATTTTTTTTTGAACATATCACAATAGATTTTATTTTTTTACTTAATGACAAATGTTTATGATATACTATACACAATAATATTAATGACTTTTAATATGATATATTATGTTATTCAAGACATTTTGTTTACAATAGCTACATGTAATGATTGTAACTGACTGGTCCATTTGTCTAATGCATTATAGCGAGCGGCACAAACGGATTTTTTATCCAATTCAAGGACCTGGTTCACCTATAATATTTATTCATAAATATATAGATATTCCCTCCCTTTTATTTTTTAAAATAACTTTTATACCTGATCAATTCGTCCATGTATGGTACTATCAAGAATGCAGGATACAAGAAGACTTTCCACTTCTGATACATCTATGTTCAATTCTTTACTTATAAAAGGTATGTGGATTCTTGTATAAGGTTTTATCAGTTTAATAAGAACCTAATAAAAGAAAAAGCATTATTATATAAAATTAATTAAATGTTTTTTTTTCTATTAAACATTACTGATCAAAATCTAATTTTGATATATAAATGCCATACTTGAGTGCGAATATTTCGTAATAAATCCTCAATATGCTCTCGAATAAATGGATCGTCCATAATATTATTTCTATTTTGCTTTAAAATTAATTCGAATTGATTAATATCGTTGTTTTGATAACTAACAACTAAATTTGTCATTGCTAGAATTTCTGGATCATTTTTGTATGGTTTTGCTTCTTGTGAGTCAAATGGATTAATTCCAGATTTCATCAACCTAAGAATTGTAATATAGTTTAAATTATAAATGTTACTTTAAATGTAACATTTTTAAACATATAATATTTTGTTAAGAAATATAGATTTCTATTTTTTACTAACATATTTGCTAGTACTAAATATTTTAAACATGTTGTACGTCTTGGAGATCCTGATTCATCGTAATTCTTAAAGGCTTCAAAAAAATCTGTGTGTGCTCTTTCAAATTCTCCTTCTCTTAAATGCATTTTTCCTCCACATTCTAAAAAAAATTGAACATACAATTTATGCTATACAAGATCGTATTTACAAAATTCATGTTTAACTCACTATACAATAAAAGGCTAACCTCTGATAACTCCCATTATTAATGGATGGGGTATAGCACTTTTAATATGAAGGCTCTGTTCGTACAAAGTTTTTAGTTTTTTGTTATTTTTTTGTGCAGTATACATTTGAATTTCTAAAGCATATATTTCTAAAAGTTGTGTTCCCTTCTTTAAATCATCTTCCCCGTCATCAGTCTAAAAAAATATATATATTATTTTTTTAAATATACCTCATTTTATAGAACCAACTTACACAGGGTATATATTCATATGAATTTTTTGTATTATTCACATGTACAGAGACCACAGTCAAAATGGTTACCCCAAAACAAGAAACATTCTGACAAACAATACATACCTGACAACTTTGATGAAGCTGCTTCAATATTTTGGCTAATTTATTAAAATCAGAACGATCAAAATATAACTTTCCTAATTTTGTATTAGTTTTAAACCATAGTCTATCATTTTTCGCATCTTTTAATGCATCTAAAGTAGTTTCATAAAAATCTTGCAATAATTCCATCTATATATTATAAATATCAAATAAATACAATTATATTTATTTAACATATTACACATTAAATAATTCATTTATCTCTAATTTCTATTTTAAATACTTACGTTTTTTGATGTACTTATATAATCGAGTATCGAATTAATAGATTTTTCCGAATGATTTCTCGTTACAGCACTTTTAATATATGTTAATAATTGTTTATACCTTGCCATCATTTCTTTATAATTGGACTGAAATATAAAGAGTTATTTAATAAGTTAATACTAAGAAACTGTTATTAATATCATTCTACTGAAATTTTAATATACCAATTTAAAATTAATTTTGATCATTTGTTTCAAAGCTTTAAAACCCCATTCTCCTTTTTCTCCTCCTTCCAAATCTAAAACTTTCTGAAAACTCTGCAATGCAGCTTTTGGATCATCTTCTTTTAATGCTTTACTATTATAATATTGATTTTCCAAATCCACATCTGGTTCTGAATTAGAATCTTCTGAATATTCCTATAATAAACATAAGTTTACAAATTAGTTTGTTAAATAATTTCTCATCAATCAGCTACGTATATATAAAATGCACACTAAAAACATAACCTAAAATAAGCTTCACACCGAACGATCTGGCTAGAAATTTAGTTTTCAAACAAAAATACTTACTAATCCATAATCTTCTTCTTCTTCACACATAAAATCATCTTCTCCATCTGACATTTTATACTAATTTAAATGAACAATATAAAATAGAAGAAAAATTCGTTCAACGTACTGACAGCGACAACGATGTTGTAATATTTTGAATTCACATCTAGTGTTACTAGAATACTAAATCAAGGGAAAATTGGATGGTAGTGGGGGAAAGTAGTAGAAGTAGTTATTAAGATTAAGTTAGGTTAAAGAAGCGATGTTCTATCATAAGACAACTTGTGTAGCATGACGTCGTATATTCCATCGTGGTAGCGTTGGTTACATCCTAGATCAATTTGATCGAAGGAAGAAAAATAATAAATATAAACAGTGCTTTTTTTATGAAAAAGATGCCAGAATTCATCTTTCCTCAAGCTTTTTATTTAAAAACATTATATTCAAATATCATTTAAATGAAATTTAAAGCCTTTCCCATTTCACGGAGCTCAAAAAATTAAATATAATTTATTTTTTTCTTATTTATTCTTTTTCTTTCTTAAATAATTTTTCATTCACTTGTAAAACATTAAAAATACCGTTAAAAAAGGTGCCTGTACGCCGTTTCAGTGCATTACATAATAAAAAAGCACTGACAATGAGTTGTCAAACTTTACTTTACAGTTATGTATAAACATACATTTTTTTTTCAACAAAGAAATGTTGTGTGTTGTATATACACATATACACATACATATGAATATATATATATATTCATATTTACTGTTTAATTATATACTTTGTGCCTTTCTTTCTTCTTGCTGTTTTGAGGTAAAATAATATGCTTACAATTTGATTCTGACTCTTCTGGCAGTGTAATTTATTTTATATATATATATATATTTCAATATTATCTTTAATACAAAATGTACACGTGTGAGAGATTGAAGTCAAAGACTACTCAAGGCTGATGGCAGTGTTGATACTCGATATTTTTAGTAATCTTTCAGAACTTTTTGACAAGCGTATCCTTTCCTCAGGATTTAATATTTCCGCAATAATTTTTTCATCGCTACGTCGTTCGGATATTTGAAGAATTTCTTGAAGTTTATCATGTTGATTCATTGTGCATGTTTCACCTGCCGCTTCTTCTGTTACTATAGTTAATTGTCCAGCTTGTATTTCGGAGAAAGTAACTCTTCCATTAACTTTACTTTCTGAAGGACCATGAGACGTTTGAGGACTAGTCTCGGATATAATAGGAACACATGATTGTAAAGGATTTTCCTCTGTACCGACAGGTAATTTTAATATGGTGACTGGTTCTGTATAAAGCTGTATTGCGATATAATTATTAAGAAGTTTTTAAATAATGACAATATATATAAAACAAATTTCTCTCTTGTAATATATGAAATTACATTTAATACATACCGCATCAAACGAAGAATCTAGAAATAATTCTTGTAAGAATCGTCGTGCTGGTATTCTATAAGAACTACTTCCTAATCGAGACGCTACGTCTGAGAATAAGCAAGCATCCTGTTGATTAAATTACAAGATCAATGTATTTAGAACATAATTTTCATTATTTTGAATGAACATTAGAAAAATATTACCTGGAATTTCTCAGGATACTTTTGCCTTAATCTAAGAAGTGTTTGTCTACTATGTCTGTACCAGACAGGATTTGCAAGTCGCTGTGTATGCCTAAGAATTTCCCTACTCACACAAAAAACATTAATTATATTATTGTGATAAAGAAAAAAATAGAAAGAATGAAAATTCATTGATTTTTAAGTGTGTGATTAAAGATAAATCATTTTCTTTATAGAAATGTTAAAGGTCCTGCAAGATAAAAGATTTTCG